TCAAAGGCTTTGGCATAGTCAGTAAAGCAGAAATAGATGTTTTTCTGGAACTCTCTTGCTTTTTTGATGATCCAGTGAATGTTGGCAATTTGATCCCTGGTTCCTCTGCCTTTTCTAAATCCAGCTTGAACATCTGGAAGTTCATGGAACACATACTTTTGAAGCCTGGCTTGGAGAATTTTGAGCATTACTTTGCTAGCATGTGAGATGAGTGCAATTGTGCAGTAGTTTGAACATTCTTTGGCATTGCCTTTCTTTGGGATTGGAATGAAAACTGACCTTTTCCAGTCCCTTGGCCACTGCTGAGTTTTCCAAATTTGCCGGTATATTGAGGGCAGCACTTTCACAGCATCATCTTTTAGGATTCAAAATAGCTCAACTGGAATTCCATCACCTCCACTAGCTTTGTTTTTAGTGACGCTTCCTAAGGCCCGCTTGACTTCACATTCCAGGATGTCTGGCTCTAGGTGAGTGATCATACCATTGTGATTATCTGGGTTGTGAAGATCTTTTTTGTACAGTTCTTCTGTATATTCTTGCCACGTCTCCTTATTATCTTCTGCTTCTGTTAGGTCCATACTATTTCTGTCCTTTATTAACCCATCTTTGCATGAAATATTCCCTTGGTATCTCTAATTTCCCTGAAGATATCTCTAGTCCTCCCCATTCTATTGTTTTCCTCTCTCATATCTTATGTTAATTATGGTGTCTGCCTTTCTGTATTCATACAGGACTTGTAGTTTAACAATTAAATTTATCATTTAATTATATCCTTATTAGTATCTCATGTATGCTTTTATCCATATTGAGCCTGTTTCTCCCACAAGATAATCTTCAAAGGCAATGGTCATACTACAAAACAATGTTAACATTTTTTTAGTGTTTACTATATGCTGGGCACTACTATCCAGTATCTAGCATATTCCTAGATGCTTACTATCTATCACATATTAGGGGTAAGATGCATTATGTATCAAACAGCATAGTATCTATAAAAAGTTAGAAAGAAAATATAATGGATTAGATGTGGGCTTCAGAGTCAGACAGGTCAGAAGGTCAGGTATTGATACTTGGCTCTTTTTAGTAGCTAAGTGGTGTTAGGTAAATTACTGAATATCTCTGAGACCACATTTCTCTTGAAAAATGGGTATTCTTCATGTGGTTTTTATAAAGTATCTTCACATAGTAGATGCTTAATGGTAATTTTTTTATATATATTTACTTTTTATTTTACTTATTTGACTGTGCCAGGTCTTAGTTGTAGCACATGAGGATCTTTGATCTTTGTTGCAGCATGCAACATCTTTAGCTGCAGCATGTGGGATCTAGTTCCCTTAAGAGCCTCTGAATTGGGAACACAGAGTCTTAGCCACTGGACTACCAAAGAAGTCCCAACAGTTTTTATTTATACTCCAAAAATTGATTATTCTAGACAGATATCATTTATAGAATGTCCTAGCTTTCCTCATAGCTCAGTTGGTAAAGAATCTACCTGCAATGTTGGAGATCCCGGTTTGATTCCTGGATTGGGAAGATCCGCTGGAGAAGGGATAGACTACCCACTCCAGTATTCTTGGGCTTCCCTTGTGGCTCAGCTGGTAAAGAATCTGCCTGCAATGTGGGAGACCTAGGTTTGATCCCTGGGTTGGGAAGATTCCCCTGGAGAAGGGAACGGGGTGCCCACTCCAGTATTCTGGCCTGGAGAATTCCATGGACTATACAGTCCATGGGGTAGCAAAGGGTCGGACTCGACTGAGCCACTTTCACTTTCACTTTCATCTGTCTCGATCAGGATGTAACTCTTCTTTCTGACCTTTGTCTGATATAGATCTGCTCCATTATTGGTCTTACAAATACTTTCTGCAAAGTGCAGTTTATCTAATCAACTGCCCCAGAAAGGTTCACAAGGCTTATCAATATCTAATATGAACACATTATTTACTCTTAATAGCTGGTATTACCGTGTAATCTATATCTGGATTTGAAATCCACTTCACTTAAATAATCATTGGATAATTTCCTTACCTCACAGAAAACAAGACCTACTATTACCAAGGTAGCTTTAAAGTGCTGAATATCCCAAATAATAGAAATTATGGAAAGGAGACATCACCAGAAAATAACTATCTTAGCAAAATTCTTGAGACGAAGGTAAATTAGTATTTTCTTATATTTAGTTCATTGTTAATTCTCTGAAACATAAATTTATTACTGGAATTTGATGTTTGACTCTGTGTTCTCTTTAACAGATGTCTGATGCATTTCAGAGTTCTAGCATTTACAGACAATACATCAATTCTCAAGTCATCACACTGGTGTAAGTAACTAACAACTGTTAGAAAAGATACAAACCTATCACGTGTATCATTATATTTCAAATACCACTATAAAAAGAGTCTGTTGGCAGATTACAATCATTAGCCAGTAAGTTACTAATGAATGACATCATCCTAAGCTAAATATCAGGCTAATTGTTTAGCATACAACTAAAGCAAAGTTTGAGCTATTTAGTGAAGTTCATTTTTAGTTACACTGAGAATACATTATTTCTTAAATTACATATGAATCATTTCTCTAGGATTTAAAGTTTTTATGTTCAGCAAATACTAACTGGTCTCTTAGACCAATGTTTGACGGTATAACATTTTTATTTAGCTGTAACATAAATACATATCCTGTTTTTTCATGTTTTTCTATTCTTGTAAGTTAGTTAAACACCTTGGAGAACTGCCCTAGAGTTCTTTTAGGGTAGAAAAGAGCATATCTACACCAGACTTTGATGCCAAGTAAATCCTTTTAGTGGCCCCAACAGGAAGCAAAATAGCTGTGCTGTGTTTTCTGCACAAGTTTACAGAAATATGGACTAGCTAATGGAGCTCTGTGTGCTGTACTTCATAGCTGTTGTGTCTGATTCTTTGCGACCCCATGGGCTGTAGCCCACCAGGCTCCTCTGTCCATGGGGATTCTCCAGGCAAGAATACTGGGATGGGTTGCTATGGCTTCCTCCAGGGAATCTTCCCAACCCAGGGATCAAACCCAGGTCTCCCGCATTGCATGTGGATTCTTTACTGCCTGAGCCACCAGGAAAGCCCAAGAATACTGGAGTGGGTAACCTATCCCTTTTCCAGGGGATCTTCCCGATCCAGGAATTGAACTGGAACTCATATATTGCCGGCAGATTCTTTACCAGCTGAGTCACCAGGGAAGTCCAATTGAGCTCTGGAATAGGAGTTAAACAACCTGATGCAGCTTTGCTACTTAGTAACCCTCTTGAATGAATCACTACGTCACTCTGACTCTTGCTTCCCTGTCTGTGAATAGTGATGATAACACATACACTGCGTTCCTCATAAAACTATACTCAAGATCAAAAAAGATAATGTGTATGGAAATATTTGCAAGTTAACACTTTTCCAATGAAGGCTATTATCGCTTTTACTTTAATCAAGGCCACCAGACTATGTCTGCCCTTCTTCCACTGCTCCTGGAACTCAAGCGGACTCCTAGAATTGCAGAATGGTTCAAAAGCTCAACTAGAATTAAATCTGGGAATTGATTTTAGTATTGGAAACAGTGGGAGGCTAACACTAAAGGGTATCTTTCAAACAGGACTGCAACCACCCTAAGGCTTCTGCTTGGTTTTCCCACACACGTAACTTTGGGTATCTATAAGAAGTGTGAGCCCGTGGAAAGTGAGGGAGAGGCTACAGGTCCAAGGTTTTCATTTGGGCACACCTTGCTGATGGCTCAGACAGTAAAGAATCTACCTGCAATGTGGGAGACCCAGGTTCAATCCGTGGGTCTGGAAGATGACCTGGAAAAGGGAATAGCAACCCACTCCAGTATTCTTGCCTGGGAAATTCCATGGATAGAGGAGCCTGGTGCACTACAGTCAATGGGGTCACAAAGAGACACAATTGAGCTTCTAATACTTTTGACTTTCAACTGCTACTATAAGCAAACTTGTATTAGCTGAGTGCTACCTAGGAATGACTATTTATTTATATAACAAAAGATAATCATCCATTAGAAAGATCTAAAGCATAGTAATACCACTTTGGACACTAACCTCAGAGATGCTTGAAAATTCTTACAAGTCCATTAGCCAGCCTCTTGGACTGCCCCCACCTGCATTCCAATACCAACCAAATCTGTCCTGAACATGACAGTCAGGTTAATTTTCCACAAGCACAGTTTTATTCAACAACTTCTCTTTACCACTACCCCTTGGCTAACATTCAAATCCTCTTCCATCTGAGCTCAGTCTCCTAGACACTGTTGTCACTGACTAACTGGGCATAGAGACAGAGTGCATAGTGTAATGAACCTGGGTTAGGGAGTCAACTGTACTGTATCTGGATCTTAGTTTAATTACTGTGTAATCTTTAGCACATTGCATGTTTATGTGCTCAGTCATGTCTGACTCTTTGAGATGCCATGGACTGTAGCCTATCAGGCTCCTCTCTTCATGGGATTTTCCAGGCAAGAATACTGGAGTGGATTGCCATTCCCTTCTCCAGGAGATATTCCCAACCCAGAGATTGAACCTGGGAAATCTGCATTAGCAGGAAGATTCTTTGCCACTGCACTGCCAGGGAAGCCTCCCTCTGAGCACATTAGGTAGACTTTCAAAGTCTCAAGTTTTCCTTGGCTGCAAAAGGAAGGTAATGACACCTAAGGTGCAGGGTTGTTGTGGAGACTAAGTGTGATAATAAATGTGATAACGTAGTACCTGGAACACAGCAGATACCCAGTAAATGCTAATTAATATTATTGCTATCCAGTTATTCTGCAGTACTATTCCTTCTTTGCTCTGTTTGATAAGCAATTTTTGCTTGAGATGAAATAGTGATAAAAATATTTTAAGGTTTAGTGTGTATGTTAACTCTTCAATAAAAATTTCTCTGATACTTTAAGTAAACCATGACTTGTCTTATTTTCAGATAAGATAAACATCTTATTGCTTTGCCTCATTTATTATAAGTCATTTGTATAGATGTCATCTCTCTTAGAAATCTGGAAACTTCTTGAGAGTAGGAAATATGTTATAGTCACCCTTGTATCACCCCATAACATCTAATCACTTTTCATAGCAGCTCAATAAATGACTGATGAATGTAGGAATAAATGATCCCAGTTCCTATGTGACACTTCTACTCTGTGCCTCAAGCCTTTCCTACATTTTTAGATGTGTAGAACCACTTGTCTTCTAAACTGAATAGCTGTATGCACACTGTCACCCAGCAAACGTAGGCAGCTGGATGATCCTGTGATTAACTTAAAGTGAAGGTACTACACACACCTACAAAAGAACAGAAGTGAAGATATAAGAGGTCAGGGAATAAAGACAGAGTGTTCATTTTTAGCAACATGTGAAATCTTTACTGTGTTTTTAGTCCTGCTGACGACAGTGTGACAGCACATATATGGCTGGTATTCAAGTCGCCCAAATCAGTGAAGGAAAACACAAGAAGAGCAATTGAAAGCATCTTACGTCAAATGCTGAAGAACCACTCAGGATCCTTGACTACAGATCCTGATTCGCTTACATTTGAGGGTAAGCTTATGTTCTAGATGGAAGCAGTGTCCCTTTCATCTTTTTATCCTGGACATATATCACAAGCCTCAGGCACAAAGCTGATTCCCATTTTTTTAAAGAATAAGTCATGGTTTTATATCAGAGCAACAGTTTGTATTCTTCATTATTAAAACCCACTTAGATCATAATAATGCCACACCTTAAAATTAGTTCTCTGAGGGGAAAGCTGCCCTTTATTCTAAAGTAAATAGTAAAACTTTGAACAATCCTTACGGTAGTGATGTATTCTTGTATTCTTTTCATGATCTCCTATGACTTTCAGACATAAGACTCAATCAGCCATTATAAGACGTCAATTTTTAAAAGATATTTTTGTTTACTGACAGGAATCAGGTTCACCTGGAGGTCTTCCTGTTCTTTAAAGGAAATATATGAGTAATTTTCCACTTTGGATGATATACAATACAATTCCAATTAAATAAAAAGATGTTTTCTCATGTGCAACTATGAAGACGGTATTTCCATATCTCACATTCATATATAGTAAAAGAACAATTCAAATAAGCTAATATTTTCTCCTTTCTGTTGACACTTTGTCCTGAGATTCAAAATTATTTCTCTCTGGACCTACCATCACCAGCTCCAGGGTCAGTGACTAATGCTAGTCATTAAATTTACAATGGGCCTTTTCTTCTATTTCAGAAATCAGTAAGGTAGAAGCTGAAAAGATAATCAACAACCGTAAGTTCAGATACTTTTTAATTAAATGTATGTGATGACGTAAAACATATCAATTAAGATTTGTTATTCTGAATAAGACACAGTTCTAATTGTTTTACATGTAACTCATTCAATCCTCACAACAATCCTAGATAAGTATTATTATTATTTCTTTTGGAAGGACTGATGCTGAAAAGCTGAAGCTCCAATATTTTGTCATCTGATGTGAAGAGTAAACTCATAGGAAAAGATCCTGATACCAGGAAAACTTAAAGGCAAAAGGAGAAGGGAATGGTCGAGGATAAGATGGTTAGATAGCATCACTGACTCAATGGACATGAATCTAAGCAAACTATGGGAGACAGTGGAGGACAGAGGAGCCTGAGCAACCGTAGTCCATGGGGTCACAGAGAGTCAGACGCGATTTAGCAACTGAACAACAAAAATTATTATTCCACTTTAGAGATGAGGAAACTGAAGCATAAAGAAGTGAAGTAATTTCCTCAAATTCATCCAGCTTGTAAATGATGGGGCCGGAATTCAGACCATGGAGTCTGGTTGCAGCGTCCACATACTTAACTGTGTCTTTATCCACCTTGCACAGTTTCCATATCCTCCAAGTGCTGAAGAGTCTTGGAGATACTATGATGGATAGGAAGGTGATCCAGGGGTTGCTAGTGATTCCTGTGTAGATTGCATTCTGTTCCTTTCAGTGAGAGACATTGTCAGATAGAACACAAGACTAACTCAGCTCAATCTCAGTTTTGTAATCAAACAGGATCTTTCTATTCTCAACAGTATAACACTGACTCTCTGACAGGCTGTGGGAGACGACCAAGGATGTCAGCTACCTATGATAGAATCAAGGGTGGATCCACTGCTCAGGAAGGAGAGTGGCCCTGGCAAGCAAGTCTCAAAAAGAACGGCAAGCACTACTGTGGGGCCTCTTTGATCAGTGACAGATATCTGGTGACTGCAGCTCACTGCTTTAAAAAGTAAGTTCATCATGTTGCCTGAGGTTAGGGCTTCCCTGGTGGCTCAGAGAGTTAAGACTGCCTGCAGTGCAGGAGACCTGGGTTCGATCCCTGAGTTGGGAAGATCCCCTGGAGAAGTGAACAGCTACCCACTCCAGTACTCTTGCCTGGAGAATTCCACGGACAGAGGAGGCTGGTGGGCTACAGTCTGTGGGGTTGCAAAGAGTCGGACACAACTGAGCGACTAACACTTTATTTTAGGGAGGCTAAATTAGTTTGCTGATAAATGTCCAGTTTACACCTGTTATCCCAGTGTAATCAGCAATAGGATTCCTTTTCATTCCCAAGTGTTCTGGTCTGAAACACAGATCATATGATAAGCCAATCTAAGGCTTTCCTACCTTATCAGTAAGATTGGAAAAAGTCATTCATTCTTGACATCTTATTTCTCACATGATTCTTATCTCATCACTTCATACTTCAGACATCCCAAATGACTTGCAATTGTTATCACACATAATCTTATTTCATACCTCCTTCCCACTCTGCACCTGCCTGTCTCCTTCTCTCCTTGTCTTTTAGGCAAGTATGACTTAGTTCTATAGTCTCATCAAAATACTACTTTTCCTAAGAAATCGTCCAGTCCCTAGAGCATGCAGATTTAAGTCCTCCTATTTTGTGGTCACACAACAATTTAGGCAATGATAACTTTTTGTGTTCATGCCCATCTTTCATTAGATTTAAATTTCTTGAAGGCATGAACTATTTAATTTCTACATCTTAATCATCTTACATAGTGTAGGTATAGGGACTCAAAGAAGATTTTTCAAGTGAATTTTAAAAAATCAGATTGTATCACTGCTAATGGATTGCAAGGCAAGAAATTGTCATTAATGTCATGAAAAGACTATTACAGATGCAACCTGTACCTCTATTTCTCTGAAATAAATGCAAAATACATGATTTTTGTTTCTTTTAGTTCACGAGATCCAAGGAACTATACTGTCACCTTTGGCACCAGAGTAAATCTCCCGTATATGAAACACTATGTTCAGCAAATTTTTATTCATGAAAACTACATCAAGGGTGAACTTCATGATGATATTGCAGTTATATTGCTTACTGAAAAAGTTTTATATAAGAACGATGTCCATTCAGTTTGTCTTCCTGAAACCACACAGATTTTTCCACCAGGTGAAGGAGTTGTTGTCACAGGATGGGGAGCACTCTCATATGATGGTAAGTTAAGTTCTGAGTAGGAACTTAATATGCAAGGTACAAAGGAAACAAGGGGAAGCAAAATGATCTAGGGACAGAACAAAAGGATCATTTACCCCTGGAGGCCCAGTACTTCCGGGAAACGGTTCAAGGAAGGTGCATATGAAGTTATGACTTTGCAAATCCTGGATTTGGAACATTCCAAGGAGGCCAGTTTGGTCGTGTAAGCTCCTTGACCTAGAGGACCTAACTAAAAAGGTGCTGCTGCAAACATGTAAGAAGGGAAATAAGGACAAAGAAAGACAGCATTAGAAAGATGTTTCAAACTATTCTTTAAAATTTTCCTTTTCTTTGGTTTGAGTGAGGGAAAGGGGTATTTTCATTCTTAGAATGTGAAAGTGAAGTTGCTCAGTCATGCCTGACTCTTCAAAACCCCATGGACTATAGCCTACCAGGCTCCTCCGTCCATGGGATTTTCCAGGCAAGAGTACTGGAGTGGGGTGCCATTCCCTTCTCCAGAGGATCTCTCCAACCTAGGGATAACCCTGATCTCCTGCATCACTGGCAGACGCTTTACTATCTGGGCCACCAGGGAAGCCCAATTCTTTACAAATCTCTTTTTCTTTGGTTTGAGTGATGGAAAGGGGCTTTTTCACTCTTAAAATAGAGTCAAATACATGTCTTATATAGAGATGGCAAAGCTAGTTTTCCATCCTGCTCTGCTAAAGAGCAGCTCTTTTGCTGATAATGTTTGTGTCCATTAGGTGCATATCCAGTATTACTTCAGAAAGCACCTGTGAAGATTATTGATACAAACACTTGCAATGCTCGGGAAGGATATAATGGGATGGTACAAGACACAATGCTATGTGCTGGGTACATAGAAGGAAATATTGATGCATGCCAGGTAAGTCCGGACATTATTCACACTGACCATATAGTATATAAGCAACTATTATTTTATGTAAATTATCAATAAGCAAGTAATTCTGTGCTTCAGTTAATTTACTTTTTACAATCCAGTCAAACTCCCTCTCGGCTCTGGGGCTAAAGTAATTGTCTCCTACATGCCACATGTGCTTATAAGTGTTTAACAAATACATGTTGGACTTACTCCGAGTTAAGCACTGACTGAAGTCCTTAACAAATATGAATCCACTTAATCCTCATCACAACTTTGTGATGTAGATGCTATCACTACTATCATTTTATAGATGAGGAAATTGAGGCAGAGGAAGGTAATTTGTGAAAGGTCACAAAGCTAGCATGTGGGAGAACAGGTATATAAACCAAAATAGCCTATCATCACAGTCCATATTCTTAGCCATATTTCACTAAATTCTCAGTCTCAGAAATGTTTAACTTACTTCTAAGCTATTTCTTTTACTTTGTAGCCTCATGGCTACAGTTTAGTTACATTTCTCAGATATGAAGCTGCTACTCCAAATATATCCATAATATATGTCTCCCAAAGCATTCTCATGGAACACTTATCAGTTCATGCTTCAAGACTCAAGTTTACCCCAAAGAGCCCCAAGGAATATATAGGCTAGTCCATCACAATTGAGGTTAGATTTACATCATACACCCCACAGTCTCTATGAAGCATGAACCACAAGCTCATCTGGGCTTACTACTTTGTCTATGTAAAGTATCTGGAGGTAAATTCTTCATAATGACAAATATTTTTTATTTAGGGTGACTCTGGAGGACCATTAGTTCATCCCAACTCTCGAAATATTTGGTACCTTGTTGGAATAGTGAGCTGGGGAGCAGAATGTGGTACAATCAATAAACCAGGAGTCTATACACGAGTGACTGCCTACCGAAACTGGATTGCCTCAAAGACTGGTATCTAAGAGGAGAGCATCTTGTAGTCACTGTTTTAGGTCATTTTTGCCTCTTACTTCTAAGCCTTATTTAACATGTATTTTAAATCGGTGTTTATAATAATTATTGTGAAAGAACTGTGGTCCTGAGGGAATATTTATGAACTTTAAGCAGACTCAATTCGACAGAACAAAAAATCTCATGTTTAGTTGAGAAAAGCCTAACTAAAGAAAATGTTCCTATCAAAATGTACCATTACTATTTGTTTTCTATTTCTCGTACCAACATCACGGTTATCTCTCCACACCATAACACTCTTGGTTTTAGTCATTCAGACTTTCTGGAATTGAGAAAATATGTCCTTGTCCACCGCAGGTTAGCAAGCCTCACTCTAGGAAACTAAAACCAATACCTTCTGAGAGTTGGTTGGAACACACTGTATATGCCTTCCTTTCTATCTTCTGTGGAAGGGATGTAGCTGTGAACTAAATCTGGCCTGAATTTAGGCATGGCTTAGAGAGTCTCCTATTTGTCATGGGGTCTTGATCAACTCTTGAAATCATTGTTTAAGAATTTCACCATAAGCAAAATTAGGCAAAACAACACCTTTTTGACTTACAGAAACAAGGTACACTAATTCTGCTGTGTTCATATAGGCTTCTGTGGAGATTCTTCATTTGTAACATGTAAAAAAAGAGTAGATATGAACCATGAAAGTATATTTTAATTAAAACAAATTTAAAAGCAAACTCTGTTTGTTCAATATGACAATTTTTTTTCTTTTCTTTTTCTTCTTTTTTGGTTTGTTTTTTGTTTGTTTTCTAGTCTTTTACTGTTGACCTTCTCTCTCTCTCCTTTTTTTCCCCTGTTATTCTTGCCACTAGGTTCACAACTTGTGAATCATTTCCAGGGTGGTAAAAAAGCTACCTTATTCATTCTATTAATTTTTGAGAGCTTAATATTGAAACTCCAACTAAAAATCTTAATTTATCTACTTAAACAATTGTAATATATAATGGAACTATATGTAATTTTGTTCTGTGTTTTCCAAGTCTCTAGTAAATTTTTTATCATATTTTACTAATTTAAAAAATAAAAAAGAAAGATAAAATGCAAAAAAGAAATCATCTTCAAGGCTTGAGAGAAAGGCTTGGGCAAGTGGCAGGGGGAGTAAGTGGTAGGGAGGTTGGGGGGTGGGGAAACAGTGGGTGTGGCCCTCAAAGGGCCCTGCAGGCTGGAGGCTCCTGGACACACTTGAGGATGATGCTGGCCCAGCCTCAGCAGAATTGAGGCTCCAGACAGCCTGTGGAGTTTGGTCTGGTGATCACACACAATCTGAATGAATTTCAGCTTGGAGTCTAGGAAGTAGCTCTCCAGGAAGCCACAGAGGTTACAGGCAGAGCCAAGGCATGCCTCCTTTCCCAGGCCAAGGCAGTTTGCATAGTGGGCAGGCTGCCTCCCCACACATCAGGATTTCCTGGGGTTGGTGGCCATGCAGGTCTTGCATCTTCAAGAGATGCTGGGTGCCTGTGCACTGCTGGATCAACTCATGGAAAAAGCCATCTGTGGGTCATTGTCTAGTGGGAAGGCAGGCCCAGAAGGAGAGAGGTGAGCCAGACAGGAGCAGGTTGACCAGGCACTGACGGTGGCCTCTGTTTGGGAGGAATATGTCTACCTGATCTGGGGGCTTATGGTTCGTGGGCATCTAGGAGCCAACCTCACACCCCAAATGATGATGGAATAACCAAGAAGAAAGCTCAAGAGTCAGAGATGTAGAAAATAAGTTTACAGAGAAAAAAGAGGAGGGGGGAGGTATAAGTTGGGAGATGGGGATTGACATATACCTACTACTACATATAAAATAAATAAGGACCCACTGTATAGCCCAGGGAACTCCACTCAATACTCGGTAATGAATATGGCAAAAGAATCTAAAAAAGAGTGGAGCTGATTCACTTTGCTGAACAGCCAAAATCAACACAACATTGTAAATCAACTATACTCCATTAAAAAGTCTTAAAAAAGAAGCTGAGACTGACAGCTGAGGAGGAAGTTGAGGGTGTTCAGAGTCTGGAGGGACAGATACCTTCCAACCAGAGACAGATCTCTACCCTGCGCCTATAGCTCCTGTTTTGAATATACTTGCTTCCCTCGTGGCTCAGCTGGTAAAGAATCTACCTCCAATGTGGGAGACCTGGGTTCAATCCCTGGGTTGGGAAGATTCCCTGGAGAAGGGAAAGACTACCCACTTCAGTATTCCTGCCTGGAGAATTCCATGGACTGTGTAGTCTATGGGGTAGCAAAGAGTCAGACACTACTGAGCAAATTTCACTCACTCACTCACTTAAAGTATATTCTGCTTAATTATGTAAACCGTTAATTTTTTAAAAAAGAACTACTACTAATTCAGTTTCTCTATCCATGAAATGATAATTTTAAAATTATTTCCTGATAGCCTTGATATTATCATTATATTAAGAACACTGCAAACTTTGGCACAGGTGCTTTTGATTAGAAACACATTTATTTTAAAAACTTCATTATACATTAGTTAAATGTGCATAACACACATGCAGTTAATGCATAAAAAAGGAGGCTTTAAATTGTTTTAAATATTTATGGCAACGTATGTGATATAGTATACATATTAAAATTTTATATTTTAAAAATCTGAGATTAAGAAAGCGAAACAATGATGACTTGAAAGAGTTATTCCAGGTATTCATTCAGCTTGTATCAGAAGAAACATCAGAGAGCTCAGTGTCCACAAAGTCTGGAAACTTGATGTCCAATCAACAACCCTAACACACTTTTTCTAAATTCTGGGAAAGAAGCTTCTTCTACAGCACTATGAAGTATTGCTGGATTGTTTTTGGTGATTTGTTCTTTTGTAGCCATCTTAACCATTTATCTCCTTGGCCTTATATTTATTCATTAGGCTTTTGACATTGTCCTTGGTGGTGGCAGATTCTGTAATTGATTTTTCTATAAAACTAGTACCTAGATCCAGTTACTTTTCTACTGGACCTTTTTCAGAGTCTTGTCTTTTCAGTTTTAAGCTGCATATTTTTTCTTGAATCATTCATCCTCAGACACAAGACTATCCAGATACCTCTTCAGATCTGCTAATATGTGTGCTGAATTTGTTAGTTCACTAGTTTACGATGTCCTTTGAGGCTTTGCTTCCAATAGTACATGGACTTTCTGGTTCACTCATTTTCTCAGAGTGTTGGAGACTTTCGAAAACAAAAAGCAACAGCAACAAAAAAAAACTTGAATCTGTGTCACATGCTTCTGTTAGAAAAGGCCACTCTTCTGCGAAAGAAGGGATCCCTCAAGAGACTCTGAAGACTGTGTTTGTGAAGGCTGAAGATAAGTCCCTCCATTGTCCATGTTCTGTTGGGCTTTCATTTTTTCCTCTTTGCTTTTCTTTTTCAAAGTCTCCTATACAAGTAGTAGCTATTGCATGAGGCTTTGCAACATCTAGAGAAGGCAATGGCAGCCCACTCCAGCACTCTTGCCTGGAAAATCCCATGGACAGAGGAGTCTGGTAGGCTGCAGTCCATGGGGTCACACAGAGTCGGACACGACTGAGCGACTTCACTTTCACTTTTCACTTTCACACATTGGAGAAGGAAATGGCAACCCCCTCCAGTGTTCTTGCCTGGAGAATCCCAGGGACAGGGGAGCCTAGTGGGCTGCCATCTGTGGGGTCACACAGAGTCAGACACGACTGCAGCGACTTAGCAGCAGCAGCAGCAGCAGCATGCAATATTGCAATATCTGTTATAAATGAACTTGCTTGGCCTGTTTAGCTCACAGCTTCAAAAAGTTAGTTGACATTTCATAGCTTCTTAGTATTTCCTGTCAACTGAAAAATCCATATGCATTTCTACTGTTGATGAACCATTGAGAGGTCCTTCCATTACTCTCTATTGTCTCTCAGGTGAATATCAACATAGGAGCAATGGCCAAAATGACCTGGCACAGGGTCCATTCTATTAGGGGAGATCCATCAGGCTATTGTAAGGACTTCCATACTGCACCTGGGAACCTGGAATAGTGAGAGGTTTGCTAATTTCTTTGGAGACAGCATCTATTCTGAACTTATAAATGAGTTGCATGAGCCCTGTGAGCTTGAGGGTACTGTTATAATCTCTGTTATAATCTCTTTTCTCTGCACTCTTGTAGTCAACCTACTATGCTAGCTTTGCCAGATGCATATCCTTGATCTTAAATTATCTGCAGCAGTGGTTTTCAAACTTTGAGCTCTTAGGATACTTCTGTTCTTCAAAATTATTGAGAATCCCAAAGAGCTTTGGCTTATATAGGTTATANATACTTCTGTTCTTCAAAATTATTGAGAATCCCAAAGAGCTTTGGCTTATATAGGTTATATCTACTGATATTTATCATATTCAAAGTTAAAATAGAAAAATATTTAATCCACTTAAAATAATAATAAACTCATTACATGATAACATAACAAAACTTTTATTTAAAAATAGCTGTAATTTCTAAGGGGTTTCCCTGGTGGCTTAGGCTGTAAAGAACCTGCCTGCAATGCAGAAGACCCAGGTCTGATCCCTAGGTATTTTCTAAGACAAAAATATGAGAAAAATGGAATTGCTTTATAGTTTTGTAAATGCCTTTCATATATAGCTTAGTAGAAGACAGCTGCATTCTCATCTCTGCTTTGTATTAAGTTTGCTGTTTTGGTTAAAGTATATGAAGAAAATCTGCCATTGACACAGGTATGCAGTTGAAAAAGGGAAGAGTAAGGCAATATTATTTCTAGATAGTCTCCTTTGATAAGACTATTTAACAAGTGTAGCTTCTCCCAATGTAGAATACAGTGAAATTTTTGTGCTGTTATATTAAAATCCATTAGAAGACTTTGCATTCTGAGTGAATGTTTTATCCAGATGTGATTCTGTTGCAGTATTTATTGGTCATTTTGAGTTATTCCTATGTTTCAAGTATTGACATCTTCTATTATATAATACCAAAAAAATTATACTCATCAATATCAGAACTAATATCATCATAAAAATCTTTCATTATCTGGGGGGTCAAGCTCACATGACTGCATGCTAAGTAACTGCAGTCGTGTCTGACTCTTTGTGATCCCACAGACTGTAGCCTGCCAGTCCATGGAATTTTCTGTCCATGGAATTTTCCAGGCAAGAATACTGGAGTAGGTTGCCATTTTCTCTTTCAGGGGATCTTCCCATCCCAGGGATTGAACCTACACCTCTTACATCTGCTGTGTTGGCAGACAGGTTCTTTACCACTAGTGCTACCTAGGACACCCAAATTCACAAGGACATGTACACATTTACCAAAATTCTAATTTTTCACAATAAATCTCAAATTTTATCATTAGCAACATATATCTTCAGTTGTTTTCCTTATGATGGATTTATTTCCTTCATTTTCAAGATAATGTCTACCAGATGCTGATTCTAAATAGCCACAGTTTTCAGTCACTCTTTTCAAATAAAGTGTTGTTCCATGATAAAATTGGTGAATTCAGCTTGCAAGTTGTACAATCACTCAACATACAGCAGAAGTGCTCATGTGTACTTCCCATTTTGTCATTTAGAATATTATAAAGACAGGTACTCAGTGTCAAGATTTCATACAATTTGTCATTTTTAATTTTTCATTCAAGGCATTCTTGATGAAATTATATCTTCCTCTGTAAATATGTGACTTTGAAAAATATGAGGATATGAT